AAGGGCAATTTTTGACTCATGCGTTGCTTTGAAAATGTCCAATTATCATAGATTACGTTCCAACGGAAAGGCAAAGCAAACACAATTCTTTCTCCTTCCTAAATGACTTGAACGATACCAGGAAAGCTCCCTCTGCGGTTCCTGTTTCCCACAATTACTACCGTTTCCCCCAAAATACAACCTACCCCAAAATTAAGTCCTACCCTGATTTTTACACATGCGCCCAGTATAAGCCCTACCCACAAAATAAGCCCTAATTAAGACCCCCCCCACTCCAGAGTGGATGGGTAAAAATTAAGCTAGGGTGGGGATAGGTGGGGGGTGGAGCTGCCCTACTGCTTACCTGTGGACAGGTGTAGCCAGGCCTTGCACACTCTGACTCCTGCCTGGCCGGTCCGTTTCTTCTGCAGCCGGCAAGGCTGGCAAGGCTTTCCGGAAGGCCTCTGGAGCTGAGAACAAAGCTCAGGATCGATCCAGAGCTCTATTATGGGATGCAGAGGCCTTCAGGAAAGCCTTGCCGGCCTCAGAAGAAGAAGAAGTTCCTCTGACAGCGAAAAAAAGGTCAGGGGCGACACACACAAGTGAGGTTAGTCAGTGGGCAACTTCCCCTGAAAATAAGACCTGGTGCCTTTTTTTTGCTGGCAAAAAGATTATAAGACAGGGTCTTATTTTGGGGGAAACACGGCAGATAAGGGCTAACAGAACTCAAGAGGGTTTGGGTTTAGTCCATTTGTGGCTATGCAGCGATTCCAAGCTTGTTCCTCTCTTGACTCCGCCACTCCTTCTCCTCCCGAAACCAACATCCGAATCTCCTGCCCGTCATGCTTCTCCCCGCCTTCAGCCTCCATCGGAACATCATCAGCTGGCAGCGGTTGGACATGTGAAATCACGTGAGATCATGCAAAATCATGCAAAGCCCCCCAAAATAAGACCTGGTGCCTTTTGTTGGTGGCGAATAAAATATAAGACAGGGTCTTATTTTGGGGAAAACACGGTATTTATTTCCCAACAATTGCCAAAAGAAGCAATGAATAAATCCAGAGCCTTTGACCGTCTTTGACAGCAGACAAAGCTCTTTGAAACGGGACACTCTTTGTGCCTCAAGGGGTCCCCCACCACATGTAGTCCTCGACATATGACCTCATTGCAGCCTGAAATCTCTGTGGCTAAGCAAGACCATGGTTGTGTAACCTTTGCCCCATTCTATGACCTTTCTCCCCACGGCTGGTGAATGAATCACTGCTGTTGTTAAGCGAGTCACACGGTTGTTCAGCGAATCCGGCTTCCCCCATGGACTTCACTCGTCAGAAGGTCGCCCAAGAGGTTTGTGTGACACCCCCGGGGCGCTGTGACTGTCGTAAGTATGAGTCAGTGGCCAAATGTCTGAATTTTGATCACGTTGAACGTCAGGATGCTAAAATGGTCATAAGTGTGAACAACGGTGCTAAGTCACTTGTTTTTTGGGGGGTGTTAACTTTGAACTAAATGAACTGTTATAAATCTATTTGCCTGTATTTGCTGTGACTTTTCTGGCTCCAGAGCAAAACTGGTCAATAGGATTCAATTCAGTTTGTGGGAATATATGGGAGTGAGCTGGGTTGTTACAGTTACAGATTAACAGAGTTGGAAGGGGGACCGTGTAGGTCATCTAGTCCAACCCCCTTGCCCAAGCAGGAGATCCTACACACCATTCCTGACAGATGGGAGTCCAGCCTCTTCTTGGAAGCCTCCAGGGATGAAGCTCCCACAACTTCCGAGGGCAACTTTTGTTCCATGGATTGATTGTTCTCCCTGTCAGAAAGTTTCTCCTTATTTCCAGGTTGAATCTCTCCTTGATCAGTTTCCATCCATTATTCCTTGTCTGGCCTTCGGGAGCTTTAGAAAACAGCTTGAGCCCCGTCCTCCTCCTCTCTGGGGCAGCCCCTCAAATACTGGAAGATGCTCTCCTGTCTCCCCTGGTCCTTCTCTTCCCTAGACCAGCCAGGCCCAGTTCCTGCAACCATCCATCGTATGTTTTAGCCTCCAATCATCCCCTCATCCTCCTGGTTGCTCTTCTCTGCACTCTTTCCAGAGTCTCAGGGTCTTTTTTAATGCTGTGGTGACCAAAACTGCATGCAGGACTCTAGGTGTGGCCTTGCTAAGGCTTACTAATTGTTGGCGGTTGTGAGGCCAGCAATCTCCCAGAGCAACAACTCTTCCCCAGCTGAACCGTCCCTCAAAACGATGCCAAAAATGGGAACAAAAATAGCATTGCTCTCCAACTCCAAACACCCCCGCAGAGAGAGAGAGAGAGAGAGAGAGAGAGAGAGAGAGAGAGAGAGAGA